ATTTATTTATTATTATTATTAATATTATAACTATTTATATATTTCTATTAATTATTTATTATTTTCTTATTTATAGTATTTATAAAAAAGTTCGGACTTAGAAAAAAAGAAAAAGTTATTAAAATTTGCTCAAATTAGAAGGTTGCACCATATTGATTAGATCATTGAAAATTTATCAAATCAAAATGAGTCTGATAACAGAAGGTGATAAAAATACATATGAATTTGATATTGGTGATGAAGATAACGATATCATGATTTTATCTAGATCGTTTTAAAAATAACTTTAATTTTGTATAAGTTATTGTTCTAAAAATGTATAAATTATTTTTTTGGTTTTATTTGCTTTTAATAATTGCCTTTCAATTTCTTTAATTTAGTTACCTGCGTTAAAGAAATGGTACAGGGTAGGTTATTTGTAATGCTATAGCAACAGTTAGTATTATAATACAAAATAAACTAATAATACTACTAATAATAAGAAGAAAAGGCTGTAAAAATTGAAAACAAGATGTGCAGTACAATAGAATAAGTTATTGTACTGTTATTATAAGTTTATGAAAAATACTGTTTTTTTTCTTACTCATAACAAACAATATTGTATAAAAAATGTTTTTTTGGATTAAAAGAGTCACGGCGCAAAAAACTGCATTTTTGAGGTTTATAAACTTGTATACAAGTTAATTGAATCAATGATAGATCAACGTTAGTCTAACGTTGATTTTTGGTTTCTTTTCTACGTTGATCTAACTTTTTTTTTCAAAATTGATTTGTGTTTCCATTTCAACCAAATATCAACCATTTTCAATCATAAATTTCAACGGTTTTTCAACGTTGTTTCAACGTTGATTGTGTTTGCTGGGTAGTGTCGTCAGCAAAAATAATATAAATAAGTATTTTTGTTGACAAATAAATATCATTAATATAAATTAAAAACAGTAAAGGTCCAAGTATTGATCCTTGCGGAACTCCACAACTTATAAACTTAAATAGGGAGCATGTTAAATCAAATGGTACTACTGGTTTACGATTTTCTAAATAACATTGCAGCCACTTTAAGTTAGAGTGAGCTACTTTGTAATTACATAGTTTGTTGATAAGAATTTTGTGGTTGACAGTATCAAAGGCTTTAGATAGATCTAGAAATATTCTGAGTGTGTAACTAGTTTTCAAAACCATTTAGAATTTGGTTCACAAGATCAATTATTGCATGCTTCGTGGAATGGTTTTTGCGAAAACCAAACTGTTTATGATAAAAAATTTTGTTAGTTTCAAGATAATTGTACAGCTTGTTGTGCATAATACGCTCTAGTATTTTAGAAAAATAGGAAAGTATGGAAATTGGTCTATAGTTAGATTTTATCGAATCATCGCCGCTTTTATATATTGGAATTAATTTTGCTAGTTTTAGTTGGTCAGGAAAAATGCCGTTTCTTAGGGAAAGATTAAAAGTTATGAAAAGAGGTTTCTCAATAATATCAGAGACCGCTTTTAAAACATAGGGGTTAGTTTCATCTAGACTCCCACACCCTTATTTGTTTTCAATATACTAATTGCTAGCCAAAGTTCATCAACCAGAAGCTTCGACTCATCCATTATGGAATCTGATTTTTTGAAAAAAGATTCAAATGATTGACTCCTCTCAGGAATTGCACTGGCTAGGTTTTTCCCTATATTTATAAAAAAGTCATTAAATTTTTCTGCAATTTCTTTATTTACAAAAGCATCTCCTATATTATCATCTCTTCGCAATCTTTTTGGGAAATTATCAATTTTCACATTTCCCAACGCCTGTCATTTCTTTAACTACATTCCATGTTTTTCTTGCATTTCCAAATGTTTTATTAAGCAATAAGGAACCCAGTGGGCACACGACGTTATTTCAACGTTGATTTACGGTTGATTTTTAGTCGCGACGTCGTATAACCAGAAATCAACATTGTATCAACGTTGAAAATTTGTTTAAAACTATCAAAATAAAATCGACGTTGATTCCACGTCTATATTTCGAGTTCAACCGTTCGTATTGCATTTTGAGAACTCAAATACGCATGCGTGACTCTACTAGATATTTCTAAGGCCTTCTGTTGCCTTTTTATAAGGTTTTAAATTTGACAATTTAAAAATATCATATGGCTTGACTTGTAATGCAGTTAGTTAGATAGTAGATTAGTGTATGTATATGTGTGTAAGTATGTATGTATGTGTATGTATACAGTGGCGGCACAAAGTAAGGACAAATCCGACACAATCTAGCATTTTTTACATTTAAGTGGTTCTGACGAAAGAGATTTTAAGAGTATGTTTTCTTATCCAAATTATTGAACAAAACATACAGAGTGAACACATATGTAAAATAAACATTGTTTTATTAATATTTGGTATGGTATCCACGAGCTTTAATCACACACCTCATACGGCTAGGCATTAAGGCAAAAAGACCATTAATTGTTGTCTATGGGATATTGTTCCAAGCGCCTTTTAACAATACCCACAGGTC